TCTCACTAAATGTATTATGTGGTTTGTATTTTATTATATTATTTTCATAATTATATAAAATCCAAATGAGCGTTAATTTTTCAATCAGTCATCTTCTGTAAAAATATTATATTTAATCAATTAAAATCTTTTAATATATTAAATATAAAGTTATGTAATTCTTAAAAAAAAGTATTATAAATGCTATTTTTTAATTTATAAAATCTGTCAATAAACATAGCATGTTTTGAATTGTGAAGTTAAATCTTATTATAAACTTTATAATATAAAACCTTCAGGAATTGGTAGGACCTAGTCACTAGAATCTAGTGCTATTTAAGAGTCAAATTATCAATACTTTTACATACTTTTGTCCGGTTCCTTTTGGGCATATGGATACAAAATTGAGAAAATATTAGTAAATAATGAAAATTATAAAAATGAATGTGAATTAAGATAATTACAATACCTCTTCTTTACTGACATAAGCCTTTTGATAGAACTTTGAAAATAAGACAATGAAAGAGAAGGCATAGCAGACAAACACATATTGCATCCATCGAGTGAACGGACAGTTAGTTATTATGGAATTCAGGCCCAACACCACTCCAGTGGTAAATTGCATCTAATAATTAAATTAACATTTGATTGTTTTGATATTATATTTATACTAATGTAACTGTAAGTTATTAGTGAAATGGTACTTGTACAAAACTTTCTAACCAATTGTAATATAGTTAAATATTTTTTCCACCAAAGGTATTGAGTAATTGGTGGCCCAATAGCGGCCAATCCATAGTAGAAATACATGACAATATGCACAAAACAGTTGACCATTGCCCCGGTGAGTGCCGACCCTCCCGGCACAAACTTGGCGCCCACCCACCAGAATATAAACATTGATGAGTGGTGGTAGACGTGGAGGAATGTCAATTGATTCGCTTTCTTTCGCAATATGAAGAATATTGTGTCCAATAGTTCGATACACTTTGAGAAATAGTAGCACCAAATGGCAATTGCTA